CTCTGAATTCTGTAAGATATTCAGCTTTTTAAAAATTTATTTATTTATTTATTTATTTATTTATTTATTTATTTATTTATTTTAGACAGGGTTTCTCTGTATAGCTCTGGCTCTCCTGGAACTCACTCTGTAGATCAGACTGGCCTCAGAAATCCTCCTGCCTCTGCCTCCCAAGTGCTGAGATTAAAGGTGTGCGCCACAACTGCCCGGCAATTTTATTTATTTTAATATATGAATGTTCTGCTGCATATATATCTGCCTGCCTGAAGAGGGCATCAGATCCCCCTATAGATAGTTGTGAGCCACTTTAAGTCCTCTGTAAGATGACTGAGTTTGTAGTAAATATATGGGTATGGAATCTCTAGACAGAATACCTGGATCAACTTGTGATCTCATTCAACTTCAGTCTGTCATATATTGAGAGACACAGAATGTGATAATGACATCGTGGTGGTAATTCTTTAGGTAAAAGAATGCCCCCACAAGCTACAGGTGTACTTCCCAAAATGGCACTGGGAACTAACTCTGTACTCTTCTGCTCTTTGAAATTCCACAGATCATTCTTACCTCTGAAAATATATTGAGTGGTCTCAGTATAGGTTGTTGCAACTAGCCTTCCCTAACTGAGTTTGCAGATAGCAAATGATGAATAGCCTCCTATGAGGAAGGCCATGTATCCACCTTCTTCGAGCTTAGGCTTTCCAAACCGTTTTTCAATATCAATGACACAAGTTTCACTAGAGATCTTACATGTATAAGAATGAAAACAGATCTTTATCTCTCATCCTGCACTAAAATCATTCCTAATCTAGGTATGTAAGTCTAAAAGCCTCAATGCAAGGGCTTCCAAGTTGAAACTGTTAGAGGAAAACATAGGGGAAATTATTCAGGATGTAGGTAAAGGTTAGGACCTCCTGAAGGGGATGCTGTTCCTCAGGAAATAATAGTGACAATCAGCTAATAGACTTCACAAAATTCAAAAGCTCTGTAAAACAAAGGAAATTGTTATCAAGTGAAGAGACAACACACGGAATGAGAGAAAAATCATTGCTAACTTTACATTTGGCTATATATCATAGATCCAGAGTATGGTAACTATATATCATATATCCAGTGTATACTAATAGGTCAAAAAAGGAACAAATATTTTCATCATTTTGCAGTAATTCTGTAAAATGACAAACAAAGGAGAAGAGGAGAGGTGCCTACTATGTTTAAGCCTCTAAGAAAACATGAGGTCGTTTCTTTGGTCAAATATAGGCTAATTTGCAAGAAAAGTGATATTTAGATATTAGAGGAATAGGTGGTTATCACTAACTAATGTCCCTTAAATGTCACCGTGGCAAAATTATGAGAATCTACAGTGAAACTCAGCCTGCTGTTAGCAGTGTAGTAAATCAGCAAGTCGGGGTCAAGCTTGGTATTTGTTTATTGTTTTGTTTTTTGACACAGAGTCTCTCTCTATATACCAAGCAAACCTGAAACTCACTACGTAGACTTGAATGGCCACAAACCCACAGATATTTGTCTGTTTCTACCTCCTGAGTTGTTGGTAATGTGTCATTTCACCTGGCTAAGGAAAAGATTGATGCAAGAGAATTAATGTGCATATTGAGCATATAAAGCATGTCTTTAAAAGAAACTTTGTTATAAACAATAACAACGTGAAGTCAGGCATAGTGTGACACACTCCTTTAATCCCAATACGTGAGAGAAGGAGACAAATCTCAGTGAGTTCAAAGCTAGCCTTGTCTACATAGTAAGACTCTGTCAAAAAGAATAGAATAGAGAAAGAATAGAATAGAAAGAAATAGAATAGAAAGGAATAGAGAGTGGAATATCCTCTTAGAGGTGAAGGGGAGGGGAGAAAAACTCTAGGAGAGGGGACCTGGAGGAGAGGCAACATTTGGGATATAATAAATAAAATAATGAATTAATTTAAAACATGAACAAAATAAAAATAGAAAACAAAAAGCTTGCAAACAACAATAACACACTCAAATTAGTCAAAATATATACATTTAATGGACTTATTTACAATTAAATTTTGTACTTGAAATGTTTCCATAGAGGTTCATATCAAATTTTACACTTTTAGTATTGAATATATTTCATACACTTAACTTCCAGCAAAATGAAAACAAACATTCCTAGTAGCTGAGATAGTGTCCTGAAGAGGGTAAAGGGAAATAATCAGAAAATAGAAAGCCAAAGATGAGGTGCCTGGGTTTGGCTGAAGCTGCAGCCTCTTCCTCCCAGAGAAACACACTGTGACAACGATGGGAAAGATCCTGAGCTGCCTGACCCTAGTCCTGATGAATCAGGGCTTAATGATCAAAAGAGATAAAAGAGTGTGAAAAAGAAAACAAACAACCCAAAAAACAAAACAAAACAAAACACTAAACCCCAAATAAATGAATGAATACCCAAACGATAAAACCACGGGAAAAGGGATTCAACAGATAATTTTCAGAAGACATACTTTCTTTTTTTTTTTAACATGTTCTTTTTTTTTTTTTTAAGATTTATTTATTTTACTTATGAGTACACTGTAGCTGTCTTCAGACACACCAGAAGAGGGCATCAAATCTCATTATGGATGGTTGTGAGCCACCATGTGGTTGCTGGGGTTTGAACTCAGGACCTCTGGAAGAGCAGTCAGTGCTCTTAACCACTGAGCCATCTCTCCAGCCCCCAGAAGACATACTTTCAATAAATATCTGTAGTGTCATAACTTCCTAACATATAAGGGAATGCAAATTAAGCTACTTTAAATTTCCATCTCATCCTGGAAAGGACACATTCTGCTTAGAATGTGAAGAAGAGGGAGCCCTATTCTCTGTTGGAGGGGAACTTAGATTGTGGAAATCCTGATGAAGTCAGTCTGGGTTTTTGCTGTTGTTCTTTGGTTGTTTGTCAAGATGTGTTTTTGACATAGGGATTCAGTATGAGGCCTTATGGTGGTTCCTAAAATGACTAAAGCCAGATCTGTCTGTCTACTCTGTGATCCAGCACTCACATCTAGACACACATACGCTCTGGGGATCCATCACAGCAAAGAGACACTCACACACCCATGCTTACCACTACTCTGTCCCTATTGTCACAAAAGCAAACCAATGGAATAAGTCTATATGTTCATCAATACAGACAGATGTACAATGAAACTCTAGCATGACTTTAATGGAAACTTTTATTGGGTCGTCAAAAATGAAACTTAAAGATGGAATAAATTGGAAAATACGAGTGAGGTAACTGAGGATTAGACAGACAGTCACAACATGTTCTCTCTCATGTACAGATTCTAACGACTGATCTTATGCGTGTCCAGCTTCAGCTTCTGCCTCTCTTTAGTGACTCATCACAGTCTGTGAGGCAAGTGCTCCATCTTCTTGGTGAGTGAGCTGGGGTTCAGGCTGGGGTGCAGGATGGGATCTGTGCCATGTCTACTGACTACAGTGATTGCAGTAAGGAAACAAACTCTGGAGAACAAGGTGGTGCCTGAGATGCAATGAATAGGTATAGTTATCAATAATGATATGCTTACAAGTAACAGATAAATGAGGAAAACTGATATTAGCATAATGCTTTCACAGTTTATTATAATTGTGACATGTGGTGATTGATAACTGAGCCTAGTCTTTTGGGATTCCTGACCTCTATCTTTGACCATGAATCTGAGTTCCCTAAATCATCACTCCTGTACTCTGTTCTCAGTGGGAAGATATAGGACCATCTGTGAACGGGCCATGATGACACATTGCTGTGTGATCCTAGCATTTAAATAGTACAGACAGGACGGTCAGAGTAAGTTCAAGGCCAGCTTGGTCTACATAGTTCTAGACCTTCCAGGGCTAGAATGTATTTGCCCTGTAGACACCTCTCACTATCATTGGCATTAGCCTCATACTTTACATTAGGTCTACTGATTCACTTACAGTGCTGGATGCATTCCCCATTCTCCCCATTTACCATGATTTGCATTGTCCATCTACTTCTACACTGTTTCTATTATGCCACTTAAAAAGGAATGTTTACTTCTCAGTAAGAGGAGAGTTCTATCCTCTGGGAACCATGAGATACCCCCAGTCAGAAGTACCTGATGGTTCTTCTCATATTTTCACTCTAAATGGTTCATATGGCTTCACTTTCCTGTTTCCTGATAATCCTTCCTAGTTTTCAATCTTCGAAAAATGAGAAAAGGTCAAGTGTGATGGTAAACAACTTTAATCCTAGCACATGTCTCAGAAGACAGACGCCATGGGATGTCTGAGAGTGCAAAGCCGGAATGATCTACATGGCCAGTTCCAAGCCTGTCAGGCCCACAAAGTGAAACAATCTCAAAAATAAATAAATGAGAACCTTTTAAGGTTGGGTGAAAGTAAGCAGAAGAAACGAAGAAAAGGAGAGACATGGGCTAAGAGCAGTTGCTATTCTTGCATATGTCCTGATTTCCATTCACAGCACCCAGATGAGGACTCAAAATCATATGTAACTCCAATCCCAGGGGTCCTACACTTTCTTCTCACCTCCACAGGCACTAGGCATGTTTATATATGTAGATTATACATGTATTCAAAACACATGAAATAAATCTAATAAAAATTTAAAAATAACTAAAAAGTTAGGTTTAAGACGATACAATGTCACAGTCTCCTAGAAATAGATACAAAAACCTATAGTAAACAACTCCCCCGGCCAGGTGAGACAGCCTTGGACTTTCAGTGCATCACATTCCACAGGCCATGCCTGGTTGTGAGGAACTGAGACAGTTCGATGGTTGCTTCCTTATCATTGGAGCGTGAGTGCGGCCATGGCACTCTCTGAAAGAGCAGGAAGCACTAGATGAGCCATAATAAGTATTGGCAAGATTTACCTCAGCCACTGGTAGCGCACATGTGCGCTGTCCCACAAGTGGGAGGCGAGTAGACTGTGGTAACCAAGACAGCAACCGGAAGTGACCTAAGAGGACACACCCTCTTGGGTCCGAACGTAATCTGCTGCTATGACAGCGTACGCTTGGAGTCTGGACCATTGGAATTGTGGGTGTCTGCGGGCGGGCGGAGTTTGTTCCTGTCTCTGTGAGGCGCAGCGTGAGGTGAGTGGCGGTCAGGCTGGCAGGACACCGTGCTGCCGGGCTGCGGGTTGTGCTGCCGGTGGGAACCAGCCTTGGTTTCATTCTTCTCTGGCGGGGTTTTCCCGTCCTTTTTGTCACTTCCCAGTGTGCACTGCTGTGCGATTTCGCCACGTCGTTTGCGAACGTTGTGCGTTCAGGACACAGTTTGGGCAGGACTCAGAGAATGGGCTCTGCAGGATCCGAGCCTGGGACCAATGTGCGGTGCTTGTGAGGGCGACCGCGCTGCTTTCTGGTCCCTTAGTGTCTGAGTAGCTGGTAACTGGCCTGCGAGAGGAGAAAAACTCCAAGGACTAAGTGAAAACGGGAAAATAAATTTATGTACGTTTCCGCTCAAACTGGGACCAAACGTATCAATGCCAGCCTAAGCAGTATTAGCAAAAGATTGCTTTTATTCACTCAGACTGTGGCTTTGCGTTACCAGAAACTGCAGTTCCTAGGAATCCGCTGCTCCCTTCTGGCCTCCTGGTGCACACACTGGTAAAACAGCCCTAAAATCTTTTCTTTTTTCTTCTTTTTTTTTTTTTTTTTGGAATAGAAAGGATAGGCCTTTTAAAAAAAATTCTTTTTTTAAAAAGTGAACTACTTTCTCCAACTAACCCCCCCCCACCCCCACACACCTACACACCCTCCAAACTTTTGGGAAAAAAAAAGGGGGGAAGGAGGAAAAGCAGAGGCTGAGATTCCATACATTAAGCAGAGGGAGAGTTAAAGTGACCTAGTGGCCCCATGTCTGTCTGTCCTTGGTGCACAGGTTTGAGGTTAAGTGTAGAAATCCAGCATTATGTATTATAGAAGTTCAGCAGGTTGTGGTGGCACACGACTGTCCTGTAATCTTGGCACTTTCCATGCAGAGGCTGGAGGATGACTGCATTATGGTGGCCAGGCTGGGCATGAAGTAGGTTAGGAGTCAACAGAGTAGAAGTAAGAGCCAAAGTTCAGAAGACATACATAATGCTTTTTATTAAAAGCAGATTTGTGTGTTTCATTTTCAAGGTTTATTTTTATTTTACATATATGAGTATTGGGCTGGTTATAAGTAGGTACACCAAGTGTGTGCATAGTGCCCAGAGAAGCCAGAAGAGGAGATCTGAGACCCTGGAATTAGAGTTACAGAGGTTGTGAGGCACGTGTGAGTGCTGAACCTGGGACCTCTATACGGTCACCAGATGCTCTTCATGTTTGAGCCGTCGTTTATGGCTTTGTTTTGTTCTCTTACAACAATTTTGCTAAGCATACGCTGAGGAGATAGGCAGCATTTTGTTACTGGTAGAGCCCAGGTTTGTCAAATTTCATATTGGCTGCCAGCCTCAAGTCTATGAGTGAGATAGATTAGGAGAACATGGCCACTCGGAGATGTGTCTTTGACATGTGTTGTCCTTGATTGTAAAAGTTGTCGAGGGCTGGTCTTGTGCACTGTGCGTTCAGATTCTGATTTCTGTGCCCCGAGATCTGCTTAGACCCCAGCCATAGGCAATGTCACGGATTTTGGAGAATCTCTTATATCAATATGCTGTAAGGAATGTTCCCCAATTAACTCAAAAGAACTAAACAGCAAATGACTAGGCAGATTAGAGAGGAAGATTAGACTTCCAGTCCCAGTCAGGGGTCCCAGGGAGAAGAGCAGAGAGAAGGAGCTCACCATGAGGCAGGTGAGGGTACAAGAAAGAAGGCCATGAGGTAGAGGAAGGAGGAGATTGTTGCTGTGAGGTCAGGCTGGAGGAGGATTTGCCAAGGGTGTCCTCCATGGGGACTCCCAGCTACACCAAGGAGCCAAGGAGAGGCAGAATGCAAATAACTCGGAGAGTATGTCCGGGAAGTAGCTAGGTAGCATCAAGGCTTAAAAGTTTGGCTCAGTGATTGTGATCAAAGCTTATTGAATAAGTCAATAGGTCTCTGTCTCAGTTATTTGGGAGCTAGTCAGGTTAGAAAAACTGCCACTTTTAAATGTAATCATATTAAGTCTTTGGTTTTGAAACTCCCAGTGACAGCCTGGTATGTGGTATGTGGTACTTTCTTTGCCGAAGCAAACTATTCACCCAACCTCAATGAGTGTGATGTTCATTCTTCAGGTGTGGAGTTGTCATGGTAAAGTCAGAGAGGAGATGATACCATACATCTGATAATGGTGCAATTAAGTTTTCAGATGCCTTTTTAGTGGCTATTATTTTACATTCAGTTATCCAAGAAATTATTGCGTGCAAAAATCTGAGTTAATACGGATTTATTTTCCTGCCTTCACTCTGAGTAAGGAGAAGCCTAGCACTGCTGCAGGAGAGCATGAATGCTTTTGTTATAGTTCTGCCTAAATCTCTTAAGTGCTGGGTCTTTTTTTTTTTTTTTTTTTTGCCTACACAGAGGTTGTTTTATTTTATTTTGTTTTTCTTCCTCCTACTATGGGCTGCTATCCTCTCCTTTTTTACATGATCTTGGGGTACAAAGCTGGACGTTGGTGTAGAGGTCTACTCCTTTATGCTGTACAGGCGTCCTATGACACAATGTTGGAGTAGTTTGTCTTTAAATCTTTTTAGGGCCTTTGAAGTTAAGTTTCCACTTTTATTTCTAACTTGGGGAATTGGTTATACACTGGAATAACATTGATTCCTTAAAGTTCTATGGGTCTTTATCATTTGTAGTAATTTAAAACTTTTCATAAGAGGTTGTCTGCCTCTTATGGATTGTTGGGAGAAGGGGACATTGCAGGATGAAATACAGCCTTGCATGCAGCAGGGAAGTTCAGCCTCTTTGAACTGAACGTGGAACAGGCACACAAAAGCATATTGACTAATTGCTATACAAAAGTTGTTTTTTCTTTGGTAAAACAAGTTCCTCATATCAAAGCCCATAATATAATCTATATGTTTCCTGAAGGAAAACATCACACCCCTCTGAAAATTGTGTACTGCTCCAGGTGTGCCAGGAGTGTCTTGTTACCAAAGTCATGCAAAGACCGTAAAGGTCCTCCAAAAAGACAACTCTACAGGTAACAGAAAACAACTATTACTTTCTACAATGAATAAGATCAAAGTGCTTCTGGGAAACAACGGTACATCCTAATGTCTATTTTAGATGTAGTGAAAAGCATCTAGTTCATTCTAATGATTACTTTAGATATAATAATCCTACTAGAATTCCTACTATAAAAAACGAAATATAAACCTTGCCATGCAGTGTGCATACATCCTGCATTCGACAGACTGAGATACATTGGATACACCTTTGATTCTATGAGAAACCTTACCTCAGTGGATGTCATCAACAGGAAATTAGAAAAACTTGAGTGTCCCCTTTAACTATTAAGGGAATGGTTGAGTAGTTACTATCTAATTTCTACAGAAAATGAAGACAAACTAAGTACATGTGGTGTCTGAACGATGTGCAGACTCACCTCTCAGTATTGTGCAGTACATTCGTGATTCAGTTAATTAATTGAATTAATGAAGTCCTATTTTGCAAAGAAGACTTAAACATGAGAAAAAAAATTATTGGATATTTTATTTACATTTCAGATGTAATCCCCACCCACCCAGGAACCCCCTATCGCATCCCCCCTACTCCTGCTTCTATGAGGATATGTCCTCACCCACCCTCCCACTCCCACCTCCCCACCCACGATTTTCTCCACACTGGGGCATCCAGCCTTCACTGGATCAAGGACCTCCTCTCCCACCTATGCCTTGCAAGGCCATCCTCCCCTACATATACAGCTGGAGCCATGGGTCCCTCACTATGTGTTCCCTGGCTGGTGGTTTAGACCCTGGGAGCTCTGGTTGGTTGCTGTTGTTGCTCTCCTCATGGGCCTGCAAGCTCCTTCAGTCTTCTTTCTCCCTCCTCCATTGGGAACCCCATGATCAGCTCGATGGTTAGGTGTGAGCATCCGCCTCTGTATATTTCAGGCTCTGGAAGACCTCTAAGGAGACAGCTACGTCAGGGTCTTGTCACCATCCACTTCCTGGCATCCACATCAGTGTCTACCTTTGGTGACTGCACAAGGGATGGATACCCAGGTGGAGCAGTGTCTGGAAGGCCCCTCCTTCAGTTTCTGTCCCACACTTTACCTCCATATTTGCTCCCTTGAGTATTTTGTTACTCCTTCTAAGAAGGGCTAAAGCACCCACACTTTGGTCTTCCTTGTTCATGAGCATCCTGTAGTCTGTGGGTTGTATCTTGTATATTGTGAGCTTTTGGACTAATATCCAATTATCAGTGAATGCATACCATGTGTGTTCTTTTGTGATTGGGTTACCTCACTCAGGATGATATTTTCTAGTTCCATCCATTTACTTAAGAATTTCTCGAATTCATTGTTTTTAACAGCTGAGTAATACTCCATTGTGTAAATGTACCACATTTTCTGTATCCAGTCCACTGTTGAAGGACATCTGGGTTCTTTCCAGCTTCTGGCTATTATAATTAAGGCTGCTATGAACATAGTTGAGCATATGTCCTTGTTATATGTTGGAGCATCTTCTGGGTATATGCCCAGGAGTGGTATAGCTGGGTCCTCAGGTAATGCTATGTCCAATTTTCTGAGGAACCGCCAGACTGATTTCCAGAGTGGTTGTACCAGCTGAGAAAAGTTTTTATCTTTTTATAGATGCTAAAGTGCCACCAAGGACAGCAATGTTGGCGGATGCAGGATGGTCATCTACCTTAACACCAAAGGTGTTTTATAATACTGAGAGCTCATGTTTTGGTATCAATTTCATTTTCTGTTTGTCATGTCTCTTATCTTAGTGATCTTGACAGTGAATTCAAGAGAAGCAATTTCGCTGTGAAAAGGGAACTTGTGAAGGTTCTAATCATGAATCTTACTGCAGTGGTACATCAAATAGTATTTTAGACTGGGACATAGAAACCAAACAGAATACCTCAGTGGAGACAGTGGTGGAACATGGAATGATTTCCTGCTTCTGGATCCTAAGCATCTAGATTTTTCAGCCAGATTGAAAAATAGTTTCAGCTGTTGCTAAGCCACAGATTTTGTTAGTTATTCTCAGTAGGAGATGTTCCTTGGGCTTCTGACTGATAGCTATGTTCAGGCTCCATTTGAAATGCTGGTCTGCATGTGTAATATATAGCAGGTCAAGTCTCCTGCACAGGTCCACAATGTAGCCCTTCCTCTTGCTTGCAAATCAAGGTCCCTAAATGCCAAAATGGAGAACCTTAGGCTTGATCTGCCTCTGGGACCTTGTGGTGAAGTGCATCTGCTCTCATTCAGGGAAGGGGTGAGCTCGTGTTGGCTTCCTGCTTTCCAGTCTCTTGTGTAGTATCAGGTGTTGGGACTTTGTTGTTGGCTTCAAATCCAGGCTATTATCAGAAAGGTGAAATTTTGATAAACAGTTTCTTGCAAATATTCAAACAGAAGGGTAAGGGTAGATGCCTAGTTCTCAGGTAAGTGTGGACAGGTTGTCTGTTATTACAGGGATGCTTCTTTTTCAAAACCCCATGCGTTTGCTGCTGCTATTTCCTCAGTTTTTTTTTTTAACCAAGCTCTGTTTCTTTTTTCTCAAATGACTGTCAATGTCAATTCTTTTTTAAAATATATATATATGATGAGTACACTGTAGCTGTCTTCAGATGTACCAGAAGAGGGCATTGGATCCCATTACAAATGGTTGTGAGCCACCTTGTGGTTGGTTGCTGGAATTGAACACAGGACCTTTGGAAGAGCAGTCAGTGCTCTTAATTGCTGAACTGCTGCCCATAGTGTCAACTCTTGTAAAAAGGGTATTACCTGCTTGCCTCTGTCTGTTTTCCATTTTGTATTTGTTAGGATAAATTCTCCCCAGCATACATAACCTGCAGTGTTTATAAACTTTTGATTTTATAAATAAAAACAGCCTACTGATAATGGAATTGGGTCATCATTATGAATGAGTAAGAAACACCTCCCCCCCGCCCCCTTTTATAGCTCTTCTATCTAGGTTTCTATTGGACTTGGTAGTCAAGTCTGAGAAAGAGGCACAAAGCAGTGGTGTAATTCCTTGACAAGAGTGATGTTTGAAGCAGTAGTATCAGAAGACTTCTTCCCTCCCATACTAAGAGGAAATATTTAAATGTGTTATAAACTTGAAGGTCAGAAATGCGTCAGTCATATCTAGTCTCAAGTTTTCTAATTTTGTGCTCGTTACCAATCGTCTTGACTTTATGTGACTTGATACAGGGAGTCCTTTAGATTGTTCTAGTTGTTAGCACCCAACATCACACTGATCAAGCAATGCCCTTCCTTTATGCTGACACTTGCTAGCAATCTCTCCAGTGGGTGTTGATGCTGATTTTCTCGCTGTGACTGTGGATCTTCACCATGATTTTTTTTTCCTCTTTAGCAGTAGTAACAGCTTTAAGGAAATTTACAGAGAAAGGTGCAAAAAGTACCACACTTAATATCATCAAGATATTATAATTTTTACAAAGCTAAAAAAGTAGGATATTCAGAAAAAAATACTGAAATATGATCATGAAAATCATTTTCCTTTTCACCAAAACAGTTTATTAAAATCACAAATGGTAGAACAGTGTATTTGTACCAAATACTCTGCCTTATTTTCTCATGAGCTTTCTATTCTGCTGCTTTTCATAAATAAATGGTTATTACCTCTGTATAAAGCCAAGTTTGTGTTTAATCATTATTTGATCAACTTCTGCTACTTCCTTATTTGGCGTATTCTATTGAGAACAGACAATGTGTGTCAAAATTCCATTTTATTTATACGCATGTTCTAGGAGAGTACGTGTTTTTACGTTTTTACCACTCTAGTTGGCAACATGAACCTGGGGTTTGAGAACCTAATAATGAAGCAGACTAAGGTGTCAGACAATAGACATCTTTATTCAGGGAATAAGAGAGTTTATATTTTGAGGGCTAGGCACTTATGAGCAGAGTTTACTTGAGTCAAAGCTACACATAGTTACAAGGTCATGGTTACACGAATTATGGCTGTGTACAGTCACACAGGAAAGGTCATATTGTTCAAGAGGGCAAGGTCACATTAGGTCAAGCTGTATATCAGTGGTTCTTAACTTTTCTAATGCTGTTACAAGTTAATACAGTTCCATGTGCTCGTGTAGGGGTATCTGCTTGTGGGCAGACCCAACTGGAGACAGAGCAATAGTGTTAATTCCTACACCCATCAGAAATAGTGTTTTTCAATGATCTTAGGCAGACTCACAACCCACAGATTGAGAACTGCTGTTCTTGAACTTTAGGCTGAAAGGGAAGCTTTCTGTTGTTTCTGTTATTTCTGTTATTCTTTTTTTGTTTTTTTCCAACTTTAATCCATGGTGGTATAATAGGATACAGGAGTATTTCAATAGTTTTGTATTCTAAAGACTTATTTTGTACTTGAGTATGTGGTTAATTTTGGAGAAAGTTCAGTGAAGTGCCAAGAATTTATATTCTTTTTTTGTTTGGGTGGAATGAGCTGTAAATGTCTGTTATGCCCATATGGTTTATAAAATCCGTTAACTCAAGTATTTCTCTGTGTTGGTTTTGTCTGGATGACCATGTCCACCTCCTGGCTTTTAGAGTCTTTGTTGAAAAGTTGAGTTTAATTCGAATAGGTCTGCCTTTATATGTTACTCGGTCTTTTTCCCTTGCAGCATTTAATATTCTTTCTTTGTTCTGTATGTTTAGTGTTTGATTATTATGTAGCAAGTTCATTTTTCTTTTCCGGTCCAATCTTTTTGGTGTTCTGTATGCTTTTTCTAGTATTATAGGCATCCCCTTTAGGCTGGGAAACTTTTCTTCTGTGGTTTTGTTAATTTTAGGAATGAACATGTGCAAATATAGGTGAGTAAACAAAAGGGTATACCCCTGTGACACACGGTGACACACTATAAAATCCCATGTGACATGTGATGACACATTGTAACATCCACGATGAGATGTTTTTGTTTTCTTTTGTTGTTTTTTATTTTGTATTTGCTTTTGGGAGGGCGGTTGCAAGGGAAGACATTGCATTTGAAGGGCCTGGGAAATGAATGGGATTGGGTTACTTGATGTAAAATTTACAAAGAATCAATAAAAAGTTTAAAAAATTATTTCCTGGGTCTTTGAACTGGGATTCTTCTCTTTTCTCTATTCTTATTCTTGAGTTTGGTCTTTTCATTGTGTCTCAGGTTTCCTGGATATTTTGTGTCAGGAATAACATTTGCTTTGACTGATAGATCCATTTGTTCTGTAGTAAATGCCTGAGATTCTTTCTCTTTTCTCTTGTATTTTGTTGAAGGTTGCTCTGTAGTTCCTGTTTGCATCCTAATGTTTTCTTTTCTAGAATTCACTCAGTTTTTATTTTTGTTATTGATTCTATTTCCATTTTCTAGTATTAAACAGTTTTGTTTCCTTCAACTGCTCCTCCTCACCCCACCCCTGCTTTCATTAAAGGATAATGTTAAACCTGAGATTGTCTGTCAGAGAAAACCCAGTTCCACCATTTTGAGCCAAATTTGAAGCAAGCTTTATTAAATGCTGACCAAGATGGACTTTGGTCTAGACCACTCCCTTTATCACCCAGCTGAATGGCTCCAAGACATCTGTTGTAGGGGCTTTTATGGACTAAACCCCATTTGGCAATCATATTTTCCCATGAGACTTTTTTTTTTAAGAACTACAACTCCCAGCATTCCATGATGTTACTTGGTCTGAGTGGGTGGGCTTACAGGTTAATTTTGGGCATTACAATTTATTCATTTCCTCCAATTGTTTGTTTGTGTTTTCCTGGATTTCTTTAAGGAAACCATTTCCTCTTTAAGGAGCTCTATTATGTTCTGATAGTTGGTTGTAAGATCTTTTTCTTGTGCTTCAGCTGTGTTGGAATATTCAGGGCCTGTTGTAGTAGGATCTCTGGGCTTGTTATGGGGTCTGACTAGATAGGTCCAGCACAGCTTAAAGCAGCAGGACAACTTTATTGTAATCAAGCTACTACTGATTCATCAGTGTGAAGAACAGACTAGGGAGCTAAATTGGGACTTAGAGCCCGAATGTTACAGATCTTTTAAGCTTGTAGACCACAAACATCTGTGTTAAACTACACTCCACCAGTCAGCATTTAGGGACACAGGACTTTCTTAGGAACATATCTTTGTGGTACACTTACCATGTTTCTGTTGTTTGGTTTATTCATCGGTGGCAAGGCGATTTGCCTTCCATTCATATCTCATCCACCCAGGATGTCAGTTATCTACATACATCTCTAGTCCTGCCAAGCAGGATGTCAGTTACCCAGGGAGGGAGGTCTTGGGAACTTATTTAACCCATATTCAAAAATGGAAGTTTTATTCAAAATGACTTATGTTTGGTTTCTTTTTTACAAGCTTTGGTAAAGACATATTGCCTTGACTGTTATTGATTGTGTTCTTAAGCTAGCATCTGGTTTGGGGGGCTTATGGGTTGAGGTGCTGATTTCTGGGTTTGTTTTTGTTGCAGGGGTGTTTTGTTTCCTGGTTTTTGTCTCCTGTCTGGAATTCCAGAGAGTGAATTGCTTTGTGTTGCCTATTTTACTGGCCTGCTCAGCTGGTGCGTTCATTGGGAGTGGTTGTTTTTTGTTGTAGGCTGGGGAAAGAAGATCCCAGGGGCAATGATTTGTTGTGGTACTAGGGGTGACCATGAGGATTATTTGGTTTGGGGAAACAGGATGGGGAAAGTTCATGACCAGCCTACCTGGTCGTGTGTGTGGCAGGCATGGCCTATGGTTGAGCAGGGTGTGTTAGCTTAAGTTGAGTGCTGGGGCACATTGAGGAGGAGTGAGGAAGTCCAGGGTGTGTGGCATGGGATAGTCTTTCCATGTTCAGATATTTTCCTTAATTTCTTTCTTCAGAAACTTGAAGGTCTTGTCATACAGATTGTCAGTTGCTTGGTTCGAGTTACACCAAGGTATTTTATATTATTTTTGGGTATTGTAAAGGGTGTTGTTTCCCTAACTTTTTTCTCAGCCTGTTTATTGTTTGTACATGGGAGGGCTATTGAATTTTTATTTAATTTTGTATCCAACCACTTTGCTGAAAGTGTTTATCACCTGTAGGAGTTCTGGTTGAATTTTCAAGTCACTCATGTATAGTATGATATTGTCTATGAATAGTATCACTATACTTTGATTTCTGCATCTCCAGTGTGGATTCCCTTGATCATCTTTAGTTGTCTTGTTGCTCGAGCTCGAGCTTCAAGTACTATGTCGAATAGATAATAGGTAGCCGCATCTTCTCTTTCAAAAGCTTACACCCCCCAAAATTGGAAAATCTAAATGAAATGGATGATTCTTTCGATAGCTACCACTTACCAAAGTTAAATCAAGATCAAGTAACAGTCCTATAACTAAACAGTCCTATAACTTCTAAGGAAAGAAAAGCAGTCATCAAAAGTCTCAAAGTGAAAAAAGCCGAGGCCCAGATGGTTTAAGCTCAGAAATCTACCAGACTTTGTAAGAAAAGTTAATACATATACTTCTCAAATTATTCCACAAAATAGAAACAGAAGGAACACTGCCAAACTCATTCTATGAGAGCACAATCACCCTGATACTCAAAAGACACAAAGACTCTACAAGACAAGGGAACTGCAGACCAATTTTCCTTATGAACATTGAAGCAAAAATATTCAATAAAATACTCAGAAACCAAATTCATTTTTTTTTTTTTTTGTTTTTTTTGTTTTTTTCGAGACAGGGTTTCTCTATGTAGCCCTGGCTGTACTGGAACTCACTCTGTAGACCAGGCTGGCCTCAAACTCAGAAATCCGCCTGCCTCTGCCTCCCAAGTGCTGGGATTAAAGGCGTGTGCCACCACCGCCCGGCTCAGAAACCTAATTCAAGAACACATCAGAAACATCATCCACCATGATCAAGTAGGCTTCTAGTCCCAAGGCATCTAGGTTGCATTGCCAGTATGAGAAATACTTTTAGCTGTTGTATTGTGCAGTGTGAATCAGAGAAGTCTACTGTGACAGGGATTAAGCCAATAGAAAGTCTCTATTAGCCATCTGATGACTCCACTGGGTATTTGGGATCCAAGTGTATTCCTTACTCTTTTTCAGGATGAGCTTTTAAGCACAAAACCACATCCTCTGTTGACACCTTAGTTAGCAAGAACAGTTTAAGAGAAGCAGAAGTACACAAGCCAAAAATGAAAGTTACATGTAGTCTTCCCAGATCTGAGGACTGTGATGGATTAAGTCTTTGGTTTTGTGTTTGGCAGGTGGTGCTGTGATTGTGCTGTGTTTAATGGCCTGAATGGTGCTTCCACTGTGGCATCAGTTGTGTTAAGTTCTGTGATTGGGGAGGCTATTATGGCTAGCCTGCAGATTCTGGCCATTATCCCAAGTAGAGGAATAGATTTTGTTTTAATTAAGTATCTAAGACAAATAGAAAATGAGGACAGGATCACTAGGGCTTCTGACAGACAATGTTCTTAGCTTCCATTTTAAATGCCAACAAGCCTGTGTTAGGTTATAGCTGGTCATGCATCCGTATTGCCAGGTATAGAGAGACATCCATCATGTGCTGGAAGAAGGGGCCACCTCAGTGTAGGAAAGGAGAAACTTAAATTTTATCTCTCTGCAGGCATTCATGGTTTCTGAGTGTCTGCTGTGGCACAGGGTATCAAGTGTATAGGTAAACTAAATATTTCCTTTAGACTGGTAACAATTGGACCAGCCTCCTACCTTTTGCCCTATTAAAGGCCAGGTGTACCCCATATAGAGAAGTTTGTTATCTTGTATATTTGTAGATTATTAACTCTTTCCTCCTCAATTCCTTAATAGACCCTAAACAGACATTTCAAGATCCTGTGCCATTACCCATGTCTGAGCTTCCATCCTGATGTCCTTATGTGGGTGAAGAGGATTCCTACCTGGAGCCAGGAGCCAACACTGAAAGGCCCATAGCCTGTGGTCCTCACCACCTCTACAGCAGTGAAGGTCACCAGTGTCACCCTGTGGACCCACTCACCCAGTTGAAGGAGGCTCCAGGAGATAACAGAGATGGGTTGTCACCAGGTCCTCCAATTCCTAAAAGATAGGACTAACATGGGACATATAATTATGATTGTCCTCTTTAGTCTTTTTTATTATTCTGATAATTCTCAATATTAATCCTTTAAATTTTCTCACCCGTGTGCAGCCTCTTGTTTTTCTGTCTGTTCTTTCTTTATCTTCATTTCTCTCCAGGAATGCATGACCTGATATATTTACAAACTTTCCGATATCAGAGGTGAATGTAGATATTAACTGCCTCAGAGAAGGATGTAGGTGATTATTCATCACCGAGGAGATACTCCTGCTCCTGAACCATTCATCTGAGGGGTCTATTGGATCTTTCTAGACAAGTCAAAATGTCCTCTGTCTCAGATCCTAACTTTAGAAAAATGTGTATTGATAATGGAACAGATTTCGTTGTTACCTTAATTTCATTCTGTTGGTAATTTCTAAACCAATGGACATAAGAGGAAATGTTAATTTTCATTTCAGGGTCTGTTAACGTTCAACGATGTGGCCATAGACTTCTCCCAGGAGGAGTGGGAGTGTCTGGACTCTGCTCAGCGGACTTTGTATAGAGATGTGATGTTGGAGATCTACAGCATCCTGGTCTCTGTGGGTGAGAAGAGTTTTCTTTTGTGACTTCTACTTCATTCTACGATGTCTATCAATGTGTTTGCTATTTGCATCTTTCCACTGTCTGAGTCTCAGCTTTCAGTCTCTCCTAGACAGTGGTGATTGTCTTGTTTATGCAAACATTTGAAACCCGTCTACCTTGTGTTTACATTTAGTAAAATCCTTCAATTTAGAAATATGTTTACATGTGTCCGACATTTAAAAGCACATACTCTGTGTATCTGTCTGTAAAAGTTGATTTTTCCAGTTATGTTTTTTCAAGTGTTCATTTTTTTAAAGATTTATTTATTTATGTATATGAGTACACTGTTGCTGCCTTCAGACACAACAGAAGAGGGCATTGGATTCCATTAAAGATGGTTGTAAACCACCATGTTATTGCTGGAAATTGAATTCAGGACTTCTAGAAGAACAGTCATTGCTCTTAGCTGCTGAGCCATCTCTCCAGCATTTCATGTGCTAATTTAAAGGAGAATAAATATATATAAATACTTAAGTGTATTCACTTCAGGAAAGTCTAAAATATTTGTTAGCAATTAACAATTAAGAAGTCACTTGTGGTTCTTCCATTCTGTTTCCTCTTTTTTTTTTTTTTTTGGTTTTTGGTTTTTCAAGACAAGTGTTGGGATTAAAGACTCTACTGCGTCACCACTGCCCGGCCATTCTGTTTCCTCTTATCCATTGGGTACAGCCCAGTGTGTGAAAAACAACTATAATGAACATAAAATAAAAAAGATGTTATATGTCTCTTCTAATACACAGGCCTTTCAATATCAAAATCAGAGCTACTCATCTGTCTTGAACAAAATGAAGAATTCTCCATTGCAGGCATGAAGGAGTTAAAAGGTATAGAACCAGGTAATTTGGAAGGAAACAATGTCCCGTGGTGTTTCTAATTCAAGTAGTAATCCTGACTTGTAGAGTAATCCTTTGTAGGGATGATACTTAGGTAATGTATCCAGAATGTAATACACAGTGGAATTACATTGTTTTTAATCTCATTTTATCCAAATAGTGTTGAGTTAAAATATAATATTACAGTTTCAGTTTGGCAATGTTTGTGTGGTTATTGTGTGTTTTACTACATGTTATATTTGTCCGCAGTGGTCCAGTGCTGATTTGTTTTGCTTAGATTTTTTGTTTTTATTTATATATTTTAAGTTTTATATAACACAATTTGTCATATATTTTCTTCTCTCACCATCTTCCTGTTCACTTGCCCTCACTCACGCTCACCCAACATCATGATTTCTCTCTCATGAGCACTCTTCCGCAAAAATGAAAAGTCATAAAAGACCAAAGATTTAGATTTTTATTGGGCAAATGCTCTTGCACATGGGGCGTTCTCTGAAATGTGACCTAATGTCATTCCACTGAATATTACTGGTTTTCCCTCTAGATTCTGTGGATATCAAATAGGGGCTTGGCTAGAGGTGGGAATTTGTGCATGCTTTCCCTTTTCTGAGCTGTGAGTTTCTCAGTCTTGAGCTTGTACAGGTCTTGTGTATGCTGTCATAGTCTCGGTGAATATATGTGGTCATTAGTCCTGATGTGTCTGAAAAATGCTTTTTTCTTTAGAGTTATTCACCACCTCTTTTCTTTACAGTCTTTCTGCTTCCTCTTATGCTTAGGCCTTAAAGCCTTGATTGGAGGGTGGGGATAATGACAGCGTATGTAGAGCTTTAAAGTATCTCATTCTCTGCTCATTGTCTGGTTATGGGTAGTTATGTTAAACCTCATTGGTGAAGGCTGAGGAATGCACAAATCTCTATGTATAATGGCATGTCATTAGGAGTCATTGCCATGTTCATTTAGCAGAATTCTAGGATCTTTTCTTCTAGGGCCTATGACCAAGCAAGTCTCAGGTTCTTGGCCTCATTAATAGTATCATATATGTGTTCCAACACACCTAGGTATCTTTAGGCCAAGTCTGAAGGTTTTAATAAAAATGGCCTTTATCAACTCATGTATTTCAATGCTTAGTCATCAGCGAGTATCAGTACTTGAGATTAGGAGGTATGGCCTTCTTGGAGGAAGTGTGTCACTGGGGATGGGCTTTGAGGCTTCAAATGCCCAAGCCAGGGCTAGTATCACTCTACCAAGCTGCCTTTGGATCCATATGTAGAATTCTCAGCTTCTTCACCATCAGACCTGCTGACACGCCACCACATTCCTGCTTTGATAGTTGACTAAAGCTCTCAAACTTCAAACAAGCCCCAGTTAAATGATTTCCTTAATAAGAGTTACTGTGTTCATAGTGACTCTTCATATCAATAGAAAAATAATCATGACAGAAGTTAGTACCAAGACTGGGTTATTGCTGTGACAGGCCTGTGCATGCTGCTTGTTGTTGGAATGTAGACTTTGGGGTCTGGATTAAGAAAGCAGTTGAATTTGATGAGCAGGGCCTAATTGACCATACTAGCGGGAGCATGGAGCACAGTGGTACTAAGAGCAACATAGCTTACGATCTCCTGGCTCAGTAGTTTTCTGACAAGCATATTAATAAGTTCTGTAGACACTATTATTATTAGATTTTGGTAAAGAATAGGCCTACTTTCTGCCCTTGTCCAAAAATCGTTCTGAGGCTGAATTCAAGAACTTTGACTTAATTGCAAAGGCAGAGGAGATTTCAAGAGAGTCTAGAATTTTTGGTCACTCTAATGCATACCAATGATGAAGATGAGCAGCTTGAGCAGGGGAAGTAATAAGTGTGCAGCGGATGAGAAAGGGCACCCAGAAATGTGACGGCGCTAAGTCACGGCCTCGAGAAGTCAGGAAGTGTAAAGAAAAGCCTGATGCTAAATAAAGGAATAAAGAGTGGGCAAGACTCCACCCAGCTAAACTTCCTACTGTGAAAGGAGTTAAAGAAATGCTTAAGCAGAGAAAACAGGAAGCTGATGAAAATTTGTTTGAACAAGGGACCAAATTCCAGCTCTAGCGTGGCAGTTTGGACCATATGACTCTGGCTTGAGAGTCAGTGATACAAAAGGGGCAGTCTGGAATCTCCTTTCATGGTTAGGAAAAGCTACTGAGGCCAGGTTTGTGCTAGGGTTGTCCCTGCATGGAGGCTCAGAGAGGCCTTTGCATGAAATTGTAAAGTTGAAGCCTGTATTGTGTTGGAGACTCCAGGATGTTGGAGATTCCAGAATTATGGAATACTTGTGGAAGAGAGCTGCAGACTTTGTGTGGAACCAGCCTAAGAGAGAGAGAAATGTGTTGCAGTCAACAAAGCTAAAAGATTTAGAATTCTGAATAGTGCTTTGTCATCAGATGTGGAAATTATAACTTGGAATTTTCCCTGTTGTTTTTATTCTTGTTTGGATCCAATGTTTCCTCATTATGATCCCTTTCCTCCCTTTTGGAATGGTAATATATATCCTCTGCCATTGATTGTCCAAAGTATGTGATCTGCATTTGGTTTTGATTTCACAGCAGGTTAGTGTTAAGAGATTACCATGAGTCTCAGAAAAGAGTTTGAACTTTTGACTTTTTTGTTTGTTTGTTTGTTTTTTTTTTTTTGAGACAGTGTTTCTCTGTGTAGCCCTGGCTGTACTGGAACTCACTCTGTAGACCAGGCTGGCCCTGAACTCAGATCTGCCTGCCTCTACCTCCCAAGTGCTGGGATTAAAGGCGTGTGCCACCACTGCCTGGCAAACTTTTGACTTTTAAACATTGTTGAGACTGTTATAGATGTTGTGGACTTTGGAAATTGGACTGACTCCCATTATGATAGCAAAAGTTATGATTTTTTTTTGTTATGATAGAGCTTCAAGCCACTGGGGGCTAATGACTGTGGTTTGAATAAGAATGGCCCCGAAGTCTCATATATTTGAATGCCTACAGTGATCTGAGGTTGTCTCAACTGAGGGCATGCCCTCATTAAAATGCCTGGTTGCTGTGTCTATGAGAGATTTTGATGATTGATGTCGGAAGGCTCTTCCACTGAAGGTGGCAATATCCATGCCGCTGGCTACACCTGTGAGAGATTATCTTCGTGAAATTATGTGAAGTGGGAAAACCCACCATTAATCTGGTTCTTTTGATGTAGGAAGGTCTACTTTTAAATTGGAGTACGTGTATTTTCTGGACTGGGTTTGAAAGCTTTATGAGTTTCTTAAATCTCAAGAACCCAATATAGGTTCCAAAATAGTAGAGCAAAACTATCTGAAGATCCCTCTTTGTTCAGATATCCTGGGATATTGTGATTAAAAAAGTAGGTACCCTGGTTTTATTCTGCTGCTGTGGCAAATACCGTGACTATAAGCAGCTTAGAGGAATGAAAATTATATTTCAACTTGTGCTTCCATATTGTAGGCCTGTTGTTCAGAGAAGTTAAGGTAGGAAGTCTCTCTCAGAGCCAAAAAACTATGCTGTAGGCTGACTTGCTTGTCAGGCTGATATTCATGTATCTTTCTCATTATAGCCCATAACCACTTACTGAGGGAATGGAAGCACTCCATAGTCGGCTGGCATGCTCTGCCCAATTATCAATCAAGGCATTTCTGTATCACAGATATGTCTATAGACCAATCATTAAAAAAAAAATTACTCACCGGGTGGTGGTGGCACACGCCTTTAATCCCAGCACTTGGGAGGCAGAGGCAGGCAGATTTCTGAGTTCGAGGCTAGCCATGTCTACAGAGTGAGTTCCAGGACAGCCAAGGCTGCACAGAGAAACACTGTCTCGAAAAAACCAATAAATAAATAAATAAATAAATACATAAAAATACATTACTCCATTGAGATTTTTTTTTCCTCACTTGATTCCAGGCTTTGTCAAGTTGTCACTTAATGCAAACTAGGGCACAAGGTTCTAGGGGAATGGAGGGTAACTGCTAGATTGCCTGTCATTATGCCATAGCTTCCATAGACTGCCTGGACCTTTCCTCTCTGCCCTGCTTCTAAGATGCTTTCTCTGTTTGGCCTCTAATTACCATTAAAGCAGACTTCTTAATTGTATAATAGACACATGACAAAAGAGTACTGGAGATGGAAGAGAGCCGTAGTATCCCAGCAACTCTCAAAGGATATAAGAGACTTGTTTGTATCAGGAGGCCCTCCTAAGGATCAGCAAGGAAGCAGAGTTGGTGAGAGAACTTCCTCCTGGGGCCTGGGCAGTGGTAAACACTTTGTTGAGTCTTTTATAAGATGCTCTTGAGGGTTGTGTGAAACATAAACTCTAGATGAGCGATGTGAACATATCTAATGTTTTGGAGCTTCTTTAATGAATCACCTCTGCACGAACTAAATTCTGTCAAATGGAGTCTTTCCAGGAAGTTGAACTGAGGCCATATTGGATTATAGTGAACTGATGGGCTGGCTGCTGGGCAAAGGCACTTGGTACCAAGCCTGATGACCTAAGTAGGAGAACCAATTCCTGTAAGATTTCCTCTAACTGCCACGTGCACACTGTGGCACGTGCACACACACAACACACCCCTTCACATTCACGTACATTTTTTGTGCTTAGGAGATGGTTTAGAAGATGCTTGTTTCACAGAATGGGTGACTCCAAATCAGATTACCCAGAACCTGTATAAATGCCAGACCCAGTAGGACATGTCTTTAATCCCAGCACTATTCCTATGGACAAGAGAATCTCCAGAAAAATAGAATTATATGAATATCTAATAGGACTAAGGAAAGGGGAAAGCTGTCTTAACCACAAGGGTTACTCAAAGGTCACACACTATAAAACAAAAAACTCATAATCACTCCAATAGATGGAGAAAGATTTTATCTCTTGATGGAGATTATGAATTTGACCATCAATTGTATGAAAGAAATCTAACACATTAAAGCAAAACATGCCAGAAAATTGTTGACAACCAAGATTAACAACACACAGTCAATATTAACTCTTTTTTTTAAAATGTTGGTTCTTACTTTGTCCATTTCTTAGGTAATTTCTGCTAATATATTTGATTTTAGTAGTTCTATTAATTATACAGCCATGTTTTCATCTTGTATATCAATAATCACTCCTGGGATTGATAATTTAAAAGAAAAAAAACAACATAAAATCAATCTTTAGTATTTGAAAACCACATCATACTATTTCCTATTACACAAATGCCTTTCATCTTCCCTGTTCCCTAATTTAAAGAAAAATGGAATTTGCATTGACAAGCTGACTATTAACATGTAATGTAGTCAGTAAATATAAAAACATAGTTTTGGGATTTTTAGTATTGTGTCCCTGATGTCTCCCCAAGCCATCAGCTTATTCTTCCTCTTAGGTTATATCCTCTTTATAGACTTGTCTTCTTCATATGCTTTATTAGTCTGGTGGGCTCCAGGATAGTGTTGTGGTTTGAGCTATTAGAGCAGGTACCATCTAGGACTTCATTTCCTGGAAAGACACAAATATTGCCTCTGCCTGAAACTTGGAGGACATCTAGTTCTTTCCATTGATTATTTTCTAATCTTTCCATTTTTGATATATTTTAGACTGTGTCTCCTTTAGTGTAAAATGGTTTTGGGCAACAGAAAAGGTATCAGCCTTTAACATGAATGAATCTGAAACTGAGCTAGCTAAATGCAGCCTTGTATGTGGTGATTTGAGTGACTGTATAGCCCTTTTCTTATTTTTAAAATGTGTTGTTTAAATATTTGACAGGATACTAATTCTGATGTCACTCAGGACATCAGTAGGATGGGAGTCTTGTCTGAGGAGCTCCCATTATTTTTGTAGTAGTGTTTATGCCTCAGATGTCATGTAACAGTCAATATCATTTTTGGCTTTTCATGAATTACAAAAGTAGGGGAATTCCAAGAAACACTGAAATTTCTATATGTCCTCCTTCTCTGTCACCTTTGCATCTCACCTTGGTGATGGAACTAGTCATTGTTACTGAAAACATTTTTGTTCTTACTTTCGGTGAGGGCTCTGCCCTGCACTTTGCATGCCAGTTGCAGGAGTTTCTGCAACCACCTAGGCTAGTAGAATAATAGGCTAGTCTAGGGTAAGAAACAAAGCAGATTTGTTGAACACAACTAAGATCTGGTGTTGATTCAAACTTTGTTGGCCTGACTCTGAATAGATTATTTTAGGCACTCTTACGCACAACAAAATCTGGTGACCTTTTTGCTGGTAATAATTAACTGTATCCTGTGTGCACAATAAAGCTTTAGACATGACAACATCGAAGCTCTTCGTAAAGCACATGTAACATCCTCCATAAAGATGGGTTCTTTAGATTGACTTCATGTGATACCTCCTATAAAGATAGGTTATATATATTGACAAGCTCACAATAGGAGTCTGGGGAAGGATCCTTGGCCTTGGCCACACAGCACAAACTTCACCAGGTGTTATCAACACTTTCTCTCAATGTTATGCACTCATAACAAGTTATGTGCCACACCCCCCTCCATTTAAAGGAACAATTCTAGGTGTTGAAGACTCCAGCTTTCCTTAATGCTAATCTCTGAACACAAAGCTTTTTTTTTTTTTCTTTTACACCTTCTTCAGTAGGGACACACACTATAAAACAAAAAACGCATAATCACCTCCATAGATAGAGATATAGCCTCTGAAAAAATACAACATTTCTTCATGATAAATGTCTGGGAAGTATTAGGGATATGAGAATAATATCTACACATTAGAAAATATAATTTCAAATTCAATATCCTTGTAAATGGAGAGAACCTCAAACTGTCTCAATAAAATCAGGAACCAACAAGGATGCCCATTCTATCCATACCCGTCTAACATCAGGAACAGACAATGTTGACCACTCTTCTACACTCTTCTACAGTCTTCTACACTGTGAAGTCTTAACTATTGATCAAAAACAACTTCATGGAGTTTAAGAGGATAGATATTGGGAAGGGACAAAAAAGTGAAATCATCCTTATTTTCAGATAGTGATTATATACAAAAAAAATGTAATGAGGTTTCTCATGCCTTGTACTGGGGTTATTGACAGTCTATCATTACTTTGGGGACGACTGTCAACACAAGTGACATAATTTCATATATCTCGCATTTGTACTGTGTAGAATTTCATACAAATATAAAATAAATAAAACAGATATTATGTATTATGTAATATAATAAATTAATTGTATATATAAATTATATGTATATATTAAGATAAAATAAATATATTTACTTGAGGGACTTTCAGACAACCTCATTTTCATTCTGTATTGACTTCCCTACTTCCAGAAATGAAGTAGAGTTGCATGGAGAGTGTCTAGGATGACCTCTAGGCAGGAAAGGAAGGGGAAAGAGATATAATTCTCTTTTAGTTAAAATTACATTAAAATTAATATGTATATTTACACGTATAAACTTCTTTTTTATATGTATATTGAAATTGAGTTCTAAATTGCAGTGTGATTGAAAATTTTAATTTGTACACAGAGGGACTTTTATTGTTTTAAAAACTATTCAGGCCGGTCAGCGGTGGCGCATGCCTTTAATCCCAGCACTTGGGAGGCAGAGGCAGGCGGATTTCTGAGTTCTAGGCCAGCCTGGTCTACAGAGTGAGTTCCAGGACAACCAGGGCTACACAGAGAAACCCTGTCTCGAAACACCAAAAAAACCCAAACAAACAAACTATTCAGTTCATTTAAAAAAATGAACTATCTTAAACATTACGATTATTTGGAGATTCTGAAACTTGTGTCATGGCGTCCACTAACTTCTGTGGCTTTGTAGCTCTCATTTGTTTCACATGTTATCTTTGTTTTCTTACTTACTCAGTGTTTGCAAATAGATTGTATAATCTGACATGTTCTGAAATATATTGCTTAATCTGCAACTATGAATCTATCCTAGAATAACTATATGTTGTATTTATTCATTCTTTTTATTGTTTTCCTTGTGTGTTTAGAAAGCTATTTTGTGTCCAATCTGATTATTCACTTTCAAAGTGGAGAGACCATTTTTATTATTGAATTATTATTGTGTCAGTTTTCACAATGACACAATTCTGTATGAATTGTCTGTTATACTACAAAATTATGGCCGGCCTTTCTATTTATTACAAATTATGTATCTTAAATATTTATTACAAATTATTCATCTCCATGTGACATCCTCTTGCATCCGTCATGTTCAGCACACTTGTCTCCTGACAGCAGAAGTTCTGAAGGTCGGGTGAGATCATCTTGGCACAGTCCTTGTAGTGGTGTACCTTTCTGCATCATGTTTCTATATTATTTATGTGTAAGTCCACAAAGTGAAATAATGATTTTCTTTCATTTCTTCCAGCCTTGTCTTGCTTTCATAACAAGAAATTGTTCAAAATGGAGGGCAAACAAGAATCTGTCCAGAGAGAAGGATTGGGACAATTTGGAAGTAACAGCCTCAGAAAGTTAGAGGTAAGGGAGTTCTAGGAATGTAGGGGTGACAGTGAAGAGCGTGAATTCTGTGAGGATGGAAATGATCTGTATGCAACACCCACTGCTGACATTCCTGACAGGGGAGATCAAGAAACTCAGTCTTCTCCTGACACAGCTCACTCTGGGCCCCTTCCACATTCACAGTGGGAGGCTCTGGTAGAAAAATGTTCACATCAGTTTTTGAAACATAACTTTACTCTTCATGGAAGTGTTAATACACTGAGAAGTAACATGGGGAGTACATATGAGTCTCTGAGATACGTTTTATGTAGTATGGGATTAAGCAGTATTTCAACATTCTGTGAAGAACAGGGGATTAGTATCACAGAAAAACACATACAGTGTTATGAGAGTGAGAAGTATTTGACTGAAAATTCTTTACAACATTCTCCACAGGTAAATCTACCTTGTGACAGGGACTACAGTGTTGATCAACATAAGACTGTGTGCGTGAATCCAGTAGGACATGAAAGACATCATCGGATGGGTACTTCTGAATATCCCCACAGACATCGTGAAGATAATAAAGGCCTTACTACAAACTTCGCACTACATAATAACCACAACGATCAGTTTACAGAGATTGCTGACCAAGGTAACGCCTCATGGGATAGCTATAAACATGATGTGACTCCCAGTGATGGACAGATGAGTAATTGTTTTCTGGAGAATTGTTACAATAATGATAGATGTAGGGGTGTCTCTGGTCAGTGCACACAGTCACCTTTGCACCGGCAGGACTATAGCCAAGAGAAGCTGTCCACAAGCAATCAGCAGAATAAAATGTTAAATGAGTCCTCCAATTGTAGTCAGTGCACTGAAATGAGGGCCAGAGGAGAATCTAACAGACAGAGATCTGGTAAGTACAGCAACGTCTCAGCAGAGTCATCAAGCACTGAGAGGGATAAGGTCAATGACTTTGGAAGAAAACCATGCCTGTTTATGGGAAGTGATAAATCCTTCAATTTCTATCTAAATATGACTCAAAATGATTCAAGCCACACTAGAGAGAAACCTCAGAAAAACCAAATATATAGACTGCAGTTTACCCCTCCTTCTAAACCTGTTGGACATCCAAGATCCTCAGTTCAACAAAAATGTAAGAAATCTGGGAAATGCTCGAGGAGTTTCCCAACCCTCACTAGACTTAAGATGCTTCAAACTGGAGAGACAGCATGCAAATTTACAGATTCTGGAAAGTCCTTTTCTCAGTTCTCAGGCCACAGAGAGAATTATACTATCCATACTGGAGAAAAACCGTATAAATGTAAAATATGTAAAAGGTCTTTTACCACAGCTTCATATCTGCAAGCTCATCAAAGAATACACACTGGTGAGAAACCATACAAATGTAAAGAATGTGGCAAGTCTTTTACTCATGGCTACTCTCTTCAAGTTCATCACAGGTTTCATACTGGAGAGAAACCTTACAAATGTACAGATTGTGGCAGGTCTTTTGCTGAGGGCTCAACTCTTAAATCCCACCACAGAATCCATACTGGAGAGAAACCCTACAAATGTAAAGAATGTGGAAAGTCCTTTGCCAAACGATCAAATCTTCAAGCTCATAGCAGAATTCATACTGGAGATAAACCTTACAAATGTACAGATTGTGGCAAGTCCTTTACCAGCAGCTCCTGTCTTCGAACACATCACAGAACCCATACTGGAGAGAAATCCTATAAATGTAAGGAATGTGGCAAGTCCTTTACCCAATACTCCCATCTTCAAACCCACTACAGAATCCACACTGGAGAGAAACCTTACAAATGTACAGATTGTGGCAAGTCCTTTTCCAATAGCTATTCTCTTCAAAGGCATCACAAAACCCACACAGGAGAGAAATCTTATAAATGTAAAGAGTGTGGCAAGTCCTTTTCCCAGGGTTCACATCTTCAAGCCCACCATAGAATACACAGTAGAAAGAAACCTTGCAAATGTAAAGAATGTGGCAAGGCTTTTGCTGAGGGCTCAACTCTTAAAAACCACCACAGAATCCATACTGGAGAGAAACCTTACAAATGTAAAGAGTGTGGCAAATCTTTTACTGAGGGTTCAACTCTTAAAGCCCACCACAGAATCCACACTGGAGAGAAACCTTACAAATGTAAAGAATGTGGCAAATCTTTTACCATGGCCTCAGCTCTTAAAATTCATCACAGAATCCACACTGGAGAGAAACCTTACAAATGCACAGATTGTGGCAAGTCCTTTACCCAGCATTCACATCTTCAAAGACACTGTAGAATCCATACAGGAGAGAAACCTTACAAATGCAAAGAATGTGGCAAGTATTTTGCTGAGGGCTCAACTCTTCAAAAACATCACAGAATCCATTCATAAGAGAACCTTTACAGATGTAAAGAGTGTTCAAAATCTATTTATTACCTAATTTACAAATCTTAAAGATCATCCTGGAATCCATATTGGAAACAAATTTCACAAATATAAAGAATGTTTTGAATACATTACCACATGCTATAGATTTAGAGCACATTATCATATTTAAGCATGAGACAAAAGCAAGGGTAATAATTACTGACACTGTTCACTGAAGAAAAATGGTCTTTAGAATAAGAAGTATAGATAGAAGCCTTTAACCACTATTTAACCCTTACTCAATATCAGAGAGTCACACCAGGAAGCCCTACAACTGATATGAATTTGAAAACATTTTACCTAGAAATGCATCTTATTTACTCTGGTGGTTTGACTGAAAGTGGAGTGCACAGATATATAGGAAGTGACATTATTAGAGAATGTGGCCTCATTGGAGTAGGTGTGGTTTTGTTGGAAGAAGTCACTGGGGATGGACCTTGAGGTTTCAGATGCTCAAGCTAGACCCACTGTCACTCTCTCTTCCTGCCTCCTCCCCATCCATATGTAGAATTCTCAGCTACCTCTCCAGCACCATGTCTGCCTGCATGCCACCATGCTTCCCACATGGAGATAATTGACAAAACCTCTAAAACTGTAAGTGTGCCCCTTACATATTTTCCTTTATAGGAGTTACTATGGTTATGATGTCTCTCACAGCAATAGAAACCCCAAATAAATAAGAGATCCAGTAAGCAATTTCTTTGAACATAAGTTACATATGTACTAATGTCTCATACAGAATAATTCTGAAATCAACTAATAATGGTATTGAATTCATGTTACATTTGACTAAGCTAGTAATAATTTAAAACATAAAGACTTGTAACAGAGTGATATTTCTCATAACCATCTAAAATCAAAACTTGCATTTGTGTATTTCAGTGGAACCGGATATTTATATTTGTATGATATAGCTTTGATGTAAAGATTATTGTATTGATAAAACTTGAGCTTTAAGTATATGTTACAGATTATATATAATATTAAAATAACTTTCTTGTCTCAATTACTAATAAATAAATTAGGGCTTGTGTTCGTTTACTGCTGCCTTGGGGTAATGAGTGTCTATATTGGAATGGTATCATTAATGTTAGCCATTCTGTGGGTGATATTTCTAACAAAAACATGTCACAAAAATACAATGGGTAATTGGGAGATTTTTAGGGATGTGCATTGAAGTAAATGTGGAATGTAAAGGTGACTACCACAACACAAGTTATCTGGTAGTGGAAATAGGAAAGAGGGTTCCTGAAAGAAAGTTAATACAGGAGGAGGAGGGAAGATAACATAATAAAAAGGGGCTTGAAACAGTCATGGGATGTAAGTGGTTTGATATGGGAAACAGAAAAGGAGGCTTCCTAAGGGAAGGGAGAGAGAGGCAAATATGGATGGAGAGTACCATATAAGGATATCTAAAACAACTACAATCATAGTATTAACTATATGCTTTGAAACTAGACTTCACATAATTCTGTTTATAAGGCTACATATAGAGTTAATTACTTACCTGAGCTGAGAACCCTCTTTCTACAAACTGAAGACCAACTAACTAAAATCCTAATAGCAGTCCTGAGAAGTTCTTTTGAATTGTTAACCAGGTTTATCCAATAGACTCCTCAAACCTACAGCCTATTGCTGCTTTACTTATCTGGCCACAGAAGTGGAAGGGATGTGCCCATTGGTAAAGACACACACAATGAGCTTCAAAAGACAGGGCCCAGAGATTCCTGAGCTGAAACTGCTGAATGCTCCCTCCCTGGGATTAACTATTATGGTACTAGAAGGTAGTTTCCAAAAAAGACAAGCTACCAAGTCTTTCCCAGCTATGGTGCCTGTTAATCACATAAGTGACGAGCATTGCACAATAAATAAGGCTAAAATAGTGGCACATATACCTTGACAGTAAACAACAGCTCTAATTAAGACCTACTCAACCAGAGGGAAAATTATGCTAACTACTTAGTGAAGTCATGGCTATTGAAGGAGATGCCACAGGCACCAATTTATTAAACCAGCAAAATCCTTACAATCTATAATATTTGTCTTTATACCTTCAAATAAACATTGTCTTCACCCCTCATCAAGGAAACTTCTGTTTACAATACACAGAGAACACTACAGAAATGCACAACCAATCAACGTGCAGAGTTGTGGAGCCTAATATCAATGATACATGTAGAAAAATCCTCATATATCAAAGGCTTAGAGACCATTTCAGAAGACGGAGCAGAAAGACCAGACCATAAGAGCCAGAGGATCAGGGACCTTGTAGTGACATAGTTTCCTAATAACATCAAAAATGATACCCTTAAAGTCTCACCGACATGTTAGCTAAGCATGAGCTGAATGAGGACACCAGTGGACAAGGAAAAGACCAAGAGGTCTTAAGTTTATACAAATCACTATAAATAACTGGAGAAACGTCCATGCTCAATAAAGTTTTTCTCTGAGATTCTCTTGGAACTTTCTAGAGAAGTCACAGTATCTTACCTCTCAGAACAGAAGTTTTCAAACAGTTTATATAGATTACTTATAGTAGAACAAGATCTTTAGTTAACAAACATTCCCTTAGCAAAGTAAATGACCCATTCAACACACACCATGGGAACTTAATTTTAGTGTCAGGGTCTATAACCTTTCAAAGAACATAGAGTTCTCCCAAGGGAAGTGATGATGCCTGGATTCTGCTCAGAGGACTTTGTACAGGTTGCCATGTGGGAAAACTACAGCGATCTGGTCTCTGTGGTTGAGGATATATTTCCTTCATGATTCCCACTGTATCCTAGTGATGTCTTTCAATTGCTATTAATAATGATTGGGCTTGCAATATAAAAATCATCTACAAGGTCAATTTATGCTTATGTAAAAGTCAACCTGTGTGTAGATACAAGATAAAGGTTAAGTAATCACAATAATGAAGTGGGGAGTAGAAAAGAAACATAAAATGGATGAATGCCATGACTCTTGTATGAATGGAAGACATCAACATCTATAATTCTCCTTGTTTCACTGGTAAGGATGGCCTTTGTTTTCCCAAGGAGTGCCTGTTGTAGTTTGAGGTAGGAACAGTGCAATTAGTTGGGTAATTTAAGTTTGGATGGAGAAATCTGTGGGATCTCTTGTAGGTAGGGGCTGAAGGGGAGGAAATGCTGCAAAACATGCTTTGTTACAGAGCTATAGATGAAACTTAGGGAATAGATTTGGAAGAGCAGAGGGAGAGGTGAATATCAGCAATTATCCTACCTACCTCCACTGTAGACTTCGTGTCTTTGATTCTGCTGTATTTTTGGTGTGGGACATTGCATCCAGTGGGAAAGAGTAGGATAGGGGGAGAAGAGCAGGACCCACTAGAATTAGATGTCCAGAGGGATCCAAAGGCAGGCCACAGAGTCTGAGACAGCTCCCACTCCAACTGTTAAGGAAACAACAGGAAGACCAAGCTGCACATCAACTACAAATGTGTATGGGACCTAGATCTAGCCCCTGGATGTTCTTTGGTTGGTGGTTTAGTCACTGTGAGCCCTCATGGGCCCAGGTTAGTGGATTCTGTAGGTTTTCTTGTGTTGTCTTTGAACCCTCTGCCTCCCTCAATCCTTCCCTCTTCTATCTCCCTGATCTCCACCTAGTGTTTGGCTGAGTCTCTGCATCTGTTTCCATTAGCTGCTGTATGAAGCATCTTAGAAGACAGGCTAGGCTTCTGTCTGTAAGTATAACAGAGTATCAATAGTGTCAATGGTAGGCTCTCTCCCATGCACACGTCTCAATTTGGGCCAGTCCCACAATCTCTACACCATCTTTATTCCTGAACATCTTGTAGACAGGACAGAGTTTTGGGTCAAAGGTTTTGAGAGTTGATTGGTGTCCCTATCCCTCTACTCAAAATCTCACCTGGCTACAGGAGGTGGGCACTTTTGTCTCCAAATCTCCAGCTACTAGGAGTGTCAGCTAGGGTCACCCCCATAGACTCCTGGTTACCTCCCCCATCCCAGGTCTCTGTCTCACCCGAGAGGTGCTCCACCCACCAAGTTTTGTTCTCCCTCATAGCCTTCTCCAGCCCCTCCACCCCCCCCACTGTCCTCTAACATGATCTCCACCCGTTTCCCTCTCTACCCCCTCCCACTCAGTTTTCTCCTTCTATCCACTTCTGATACATTTAAACACACACACACACACACACACACACACACACACACACACACAAAGGGATATGAAATTCTTCTAAATGAGAATCCTTGGGCCTTTCCTGTTGCCTAGTTTCTTTGGGTCTGTGAATTGTTGCATGATTATCCTGTACATCAAAGCTAATATCTACTTATAAATGAGTATAGATCATATATGACTTTCTGGGTCTGTGGTACCTCACTCAAATTTCATGATTTTTTTTTCAATAGCTGAGTAATGTTACATTGTGTAAGCATACCACATTTTCTTTATCTACTTTTTGGTTGAGGGACATCTAGTTTGTTTCTACTGTCTGGATATTATGAATAAAGTTGCTATGAACACAGTTGAGGAAGTGTCCTTATGCATCTTTTCAGCTTATGCCCATGAGTGATTTAGCTGTGTCTTGAGATAGAACTATTCCCAATTTTCTGAGAAAGCACCAAACTAATTTCAAAAGTGGTTGTATAAGTTTGCACCCCCCCCCCAATAGAAGAGTGTTCCCTTGTTCCACAACTTCTCCAGCATGTGCTGTCACTTTGAGTTTTGATCTTAGGCATTCTAACTGGTACAAGATAGAATCTCAGAGACATTTTGATTTGCATTTCCCTTATGACTAGGGACTTTAAACCTTTCTTTAAGTATTTCTTGGCCATTAGTGATTTTTCAGTTGAGAATTCTCTGCTTAGTTCTGTACACCATTTTGAATTGTGTTATTTGGTTTGTTGGTGTCTAATTTCTTGTACACAGTGTATGATCTGACAAGGATCCCAGCAAACAGGTGGGTCAACACAAAGGACCCAAGGCCAGTGCAGTGGCTGCTTCCCCTGTCTTCATGGAAATCTCTTTGGGATTGAACCCTCCTCTATAGGCTCCTGGACAGGCTCATGGACTGGTGAGTCAGAGTCTGCTAAACAACACTGTTGCAACTTGATTTGCCATAGAACACATAAACGTATCCTAATTGGCTAAAAAGCTATATATAAGCTTCTGTAGTAAACAATAAAGTTAGATCTATACTCTGACACGTCTCTGGAATCTCAATGCCTGGCACTGTTGTAGACTCTATCTCCATTTACCTCCTGCCCCCTAACACACACTTCCTGTTCACTGTTCACACAGCTTTTCTGAAGAATGTTGTTTCCCTAATTTATTTTCTCAGCCTATTTCTTTTTTGTATATAAGAGGGCTACTGATTTGTTTAGTTAATTTTGTATGTGACTACTTTGCCAAAGATGTATATTATCTGTAGGAATTGTCTGGTAGAATTTCAGGAGTGATTTATATATACTATCATATCACCTGTGAGAATGGATATTTTGACTTCTTCCTTTCCAATTTGTTTCTCCTTGTTCTCAGTCAGTTGTCTTTTTAC